ACCTGCTAACACCTAGATGTCTGGTAATTGCCCGAACTGTTAAGCCTTCCAAATGTTCTTCAACGATTGTCCAACGAATATGCTTTTAAAATGTCATTTAGCAAAGATAAAAATAGTTATATGTACATTATGTAGCAATTATTTATATTATTTATGTCGAAATCTAATCGAAATCACAAAGTGCCATTTAGCAAAGATATACACATTACGCATTACATAATCGCTCATTACCGAAATCCAAATATTATAAAATTTCCGGCTGCTTTAAAATTACGCCGAAAGTCAACTTACTAAACGGGACCTCCGGTATTTTACAATAGAATTTTGAGCCCTGTTATTATTTATAAAATTATATTTATAACGATAACCAGTTTTATGATCTAATATAATTGAAAAAAAATTCCTTACAATAGAACAATAATTATGTCCAAGATTTGCAACAGCTTCACGAAACGGTTTGAAAAAATTACTATCATCAGCAGTAAGTTGACAGGCAAGTGATGTTTCATTTTCTAAAATATTTGCTTGTTCATCTTGATTATATTCTCTTTCGCTTTATTATTAGTTTACGACGAGCTTACCTCTTTCCTGATTCACTTTTTCGATAACCTAACTGTTGTTCTTCAGTTATTGAACTTTTTCGTTTCTTTCTCGATTCATTTCTTATAGCTATTTGTTCGCTAAATAAGTTCTTTTTTTGTTTTTTTTTGCATTTTAACCAAATAAAAAAAGAACGTAACCAAAACCTTCTTTTATTTATTCAAAATACTTGCTTATGATACGATAACATATTTATGATGGTACAGAATAATTCTTATTTTCTAATTGATAAATTACTTATTATTAATATTTATGATGATATTCGATACAGAGTAATTCATATATTCTATTAAAAGTCAGCTATTATATTTAAACCAAGAATCAGGTATCCAAACGTTGATCCTAAGTTAGGCTCAATTCTGGTTATTGAACCTAAAATTTGGGTCTGGGGTGAATCTGGAGCCGGACATTTTGAAAATTCAGTAGAGTATTCCAGCCAATTAATGGATTGCTCAAGTATCAAATACAGTGTTGGCAACTGGGCGAATTTGGACATATAAAATTTTATTTGAACAAATTTGAACATATAAATTTTATATGTCCATGCCCAAATATCCAAATGAAATTTTGATTGTACATAGTCCAAATGCCAACACTGATCAAATAAGTATCAATTACAATTCTTATTTTATTGATTATAGTAAATGAGTCCGGAACTTTATGCACAGTTATATAAAAGTTACGGTTTTGATGCATTCTATATTAAAACATCAAAAATGTAATTCTGAATTTTCTGTTCGTCCAATAATATAATCTGCATTATAAAAAAAAATCCTATCTAAATTTTATTGTTTAATTAACATAGATACTATTAATCCAGCGTTGTTAATTTCTTGTTCTACTGATAAAAATTATATTCTAATCTAATTTCTATTGCTCTATTCTATTTTTCTATTTATTTATTGTTATATTAACATCTAATTATAATCTTGTTGCCAATTTTTTGTCCATGTTTATAGCCTTTTTAGCGAGACTAATCTAGCTTTTAAGAGTAGCTATTAAA